TTAAGCTTATCTACCGTACAGCTATATTATAACATCATTTAAAATGATTTTAATTCAAAATATATATAATTTTTGGATTAAGTACAAATAAGAGTATGTTTGTTGCACTTAGTTTCAATCAAAACTTGGATGACTCTCTTTAGCGAAGATGCAAATGGGTTAACAGGTGACTAAATATAATGGGCACAGATAATAGTAATTTCAGTGGTACGATGAAGATAACGTAATATAATAATTACGGTTTTATAGCAATATAGGCGAACGCTAATTTTTCTTAAAAGCAGTTACACATTTTTAGTAACTGTAAAAAGGAAAATTCCGAGAGCAGCCATTTTGACTGGATTGGTACTACTACTGTTAAATAATCCTGATAGATAGGTAAACACGTTTGGTATAGCTAAATCTCCTATAACGCGATTAATTCGTACCGCATTATATGGAAACCGTGTTACAAGAAAATCAGTATAACCCAATATTAGTATAATTCAAATTCATTAGTCAAACTTTTCACTGCCAAATATTTCGCTGTTCGATATACAGAGTGAACCATTTATCCTGGCCACTTCGATCGTTTTTCTTATCAATAAGTTGATCTCTCTTATCATCAGTAGTACAATTAACTTGACAAAACTCGGCATCCTTTCACGTCCTACCATTCGCGACAAAATAATTTTTCGTTGCTTCTCAACGACCAAGTAGCTGAAGATAAACAAGCTGGTCATCAATTACACGATGGTTCACTCTGTATATAAGCACCAACCAACGCGAAATTATCTGGACGATTTAAATCTGGAATTAGCACAGGAATTTCAGAAAAACTCGAGAATTAATCAGACTATAGTAACAACCGTAGAGCACTTGACAGCATGACTTGACAGCGAAAAGAGAGAATTTTCTAATAGTTGATCGATATGCAACACGTGAAGTTGTTTTCATTGAACGTGTCATTATTGAGGATACGAATGATTCCATGGAAGGATGAGAGAAGTTGGCAGCATATTATAGGATTTGCGAGGTTAAAAGATTGGTATGACTGAATGAGAGAGGAGTTATGGAGAGAGTGAGCGTATGCAGTCCAGTCTCTTATAACGCGAATAATTCGTACCGCGTTATATGGAAACCGTGTTACAAGAAAATCAGAATTAATTGAAATCAGGAAACGCGTTCTATGGAAACCGCGTTTTGATAAACATAGTAATAAGGCAAATCAGATTAATTTATACCGCGTTATATGGAAACCCCTGCCGCGTTGTATAGGAACCCTGCTATAAGAAACTCAGAAATAATACAAATCGAATTGATTCGTACCACGTTATATAGAATCTCAGAAATAAATAAATTGTACATAAATCGGACCCAAATAAAAACTGCATTCTGAAAGTATCCAGTTGCGATTGATACGGTTAATAGATAAAATTTTATAATAGAAATGGCAATGAATATGTAGATTTTTACATATTTGAATTTAGGTTTATCGACTATAATACATAGTTCGTATAATAAAATTATAAACTAGAAAAATTGTTCCCAAGAAAAAATCTTAATTCTATACATATTAGTCACGCATCCTAATTTAAAATAGGATTCTAACGTGTTAAGATTAAACGGTTTATTACTTTGTTTTGTATAATTATTTTTTAGGCGCCCATCAAAGCCCTTATTAAAATCTTTCCTATCATAAGTTCTCTTAACCATCAATGTTATTCCATATTTCTTCTTATTTATATTTATTTCCGAAACAAATGTTTTAGTCTCAAACACTTATGAAACCGCTTCAGTCTGATCAGAATTCTGACATTCTTATCACGTGGTTCGTAAATCGAGGATACCGTGGATAGAAATGGACACCAATATCTTGTAGGTTTTTTAACAGTTAACAAATTAATATATTTAGATAATAATATTTAAATATTGACAAAGTATAATTATTTTTTAGGCGCCCATCAAAGCCCTTATTAAAATCTTTCCTATCATAAGTTCTCTTAACCATCAATGTTATTCCATATTTCTTCTTATTTATATTTATTTTCGAAACAAATGTTTTATTCCCAAACACTCTTATGAAACCGCTTCAGTCTGATCAGAATTCTGACATTCTTATCACGTGGTTCGTACATCGAGGATACCGTGGATAGAAATGGACACCAATATCTTGTAGGTTTTTTAACAGTTAACAAATTAATATATTTAGATAATAATATTTAAATATTGACAACAATTCACAATAAACTATTTTAAACAAAAAGGTTCACACTATCTAGAAAATTCTTCTCTCTCTCTCACTCTTATTAACCCATGTTTACTCTTTGATGATTCTCACGTAACTGTTAAACAAATGTTTTATTCCCAAACACTCTTATGAAACCGCTTCAGTCTGATCAGAATTCTGACATTCTTATCACGTGGTTCGTACATCGGGGATACCGTGGATAGAAATGGACACCAATACCTTGTAGGTTTTTTAACAGTTAACAAATTAATATATTTAGATAATAATATTTAAATATTGACAACAATTCACAATAAACTATTTTAAACAAAAAGATTCACACTATCTAGAAAATTCTTCTCTCTCTCTCACTCTTATTAACCCATGTTTACTCTTTGATGATTCTCACGTAACTGTTTTATTCTGACACATTCTTCTAAACATTTTTCTAACATCATTCATACTAGACTGCACTCGCGTATATTATGTTTATATCGTCGCAATTGATTTTCATTTATTCTACCTCGTTCCCATTCGTACGTATAAAACCAACACTCACGGATACCACAATTAGATTGTTTCATTATTCGTCATCACTGTCAAATATTTGTAGTTTTGCCCTCATTTCTCTAATTGGCCGAAAATCCTCCTCATTTTGCAAATTTTCTTCTTGATTTTCAAATGTAGTTTTATTTTATACCTCTTCCAAAACCTCTTTATATGGTGTCAAGCAATTTTGAAATTCTCTTTTAAATTTTGCTCTACGCATCGTTGAATAATCATTTTGAGTTAAGTAACGTTCTAATTCTTTAGCCAAACCCAGCTCTTTTTTTACATAAATAATTGAAGTTTGAAAGGAATTCGTTATACGTGTTTTCTTCTACAAATACATTTGAGGTAGGCTCATCGATTAATTCTCCATAAATGTCAATTACATACTATTGGAAAAGAAATAACTATCCTTATTTTATAATTATCTTTATTCTATCCTTAGGAAGGTATATCCTAAGTATTAACTGTTCGCATGGAGAGACAAAACTAGAGTGATCAAAAAGAGTATGCGATTGCAGCTCGTCCTAGTCCCCTAATTCTTATCTAACGCATGAAATAAACACTTCACGTATTCCCGAAACCTCTTCGGCGCATAATTCAAACATGTATCTATTTGTCCTAAGAGATTGATTATTGTATATACGTTAAGACTTATCTTATTTTCACACATACAAAAATTTAACACATCGAATAAGTGCTGTCATAGATAAATTTTTCAAGCCATTTGAGTTGTTGGAATGTTCTTGTATGAAAATCGCGTTATAAAAACACCGTGTTATAGGAGACTTGACAGAAAATTCCTTTGACGTAGTGTGGTAAAAATCGGATTTATAGAGATTGAACTTTTAACTTTGATTATACAGGTAGCCCTCCTACAACGCGGCATCCTACAACACGGTTTCACTGTAACACGATTCATAAATTGCAGGAACCCTCCTACAACACGGCATTCTATAACACGGTTTCACTATAAGAAAATACGATAAGAAAATTGCAAAAACCTTTGTACAACACTGGACTTCTCTAGATGAGCTGTGACGATGAAGAAATTTATTAAATTAAAATAATATTTCTGTTTCTTATTTGTTTTGTGTTACACAAACATTTATATTTTTAATAAAAATTAAGTTGTTTATGTAGAATTAAAAAAAAAAATTTATTTTAGTTTCTGAACTTAACCCCCCTTTTTGTACCGGCTCTGGGTCTCATACAACACGGTTTCACAAAACACGGAATTTTCTAGGAACCTATTTACCGTGTTGTAGGAGGTTTACCTGTATTTTATTTCCTTGTGGTACAAATGCGCGGAGGCTCGAGTCTTCTGAGATACGTGATGCAGACGGTGGGTTGTCAAAAAGTGTCCCCTCGAACCCTTCAGGCAGGTTCTTATAGGCCCTATGACGACCCATTGCGTCACTCAGTCCTGCTGTAATGAGTAGAGTGTTTGGCGCGAAAGAGCAAATGATAGCGGCAAATCCTTTTGTCGGAATGCCTGTAGAATGATTGAAAGAGAAAACGTGTGTATAGAATGAGATAGATCTGGCTTTAAATAGGGATGCAAGGGCGCGAGGCAGATAGATGGTGTGTAATCGAGAATAGAGGATTGCGTGTTAGAGTTGAGAAGAATCTAGTGTGATATGTTAATTAAATAAACCTGTTTTATTATTAAAAAAATTCTTTTAGCAATTTTTCGCGTAACACCTGCTTCGAAAATTGATAAGCTTGATGGTTCCTCGGGGCAAACATAGATCCCGATGCAGGATGACACCATGCAAATAAAGACTCCTCTCACAGTACTTACTCTGCCATTTTTGATACTCGATTCTCAGCACCTGGACAGAAGTTTCCCTTGATCTATTAGTAAGATTGGTTTCTCGACTTCTGACCTTTATCTAATAGCCAACACACGGTAAAGAGAATTGCAATAACACCGTCGATCTCTCTTATTTTTCAGAAGTTCTCCGAACGAGAATCCTCGCAGTCGACGACCATCAGCCGATCGCTTAAAATGACCACGATCGACCCAAGATAATAGCGTGTCAGACACTCGTAGGATCGGCAGAAGTGACACTGACGGCGCAGAAGCGTGTGTAGGTAGAGAGTGGCAGAGGATGTGACAAGAAGATGTGACAGAAGGCAGAAGAGGAAGATAGAAGGCACGTTCGATGAGAAAATTAGGCGGAACCCGCGGTGTGTCAGTGTTCTGAAGAGATCGAGGTGAGGAATAGTCGATTGGAAGATGCCTCGACCGTCAAGGGACACTTATGGCGACCAGAAGCCGCCCTATTCCTACATTTCGTTGACCGCGATGGCGATCTGGTCGTCGAGGGATAAAATGCTGCCCCTGGCTGAGATCTACAAGTTCATCGCGGATCGGTTCCCTTATTACAGGAAGGACACTCGCAGATGGCAGAACTCTTTGAGGCACAATTTGTCCTTCAACGACTGCTTCATCAAGGTAGGTCATGTTTTGCTGCTTCTTTCGCGTTGATATTAGGTTCTGTTCCATCCCGGAGAACGAGTTTATAACATAATTTTAATCTAGGGCTTACACTTTTAACAGACCTAAAGGTTTATTTTATATTTTATACCGCGACTGCAATTCCGGAGGTTCGATATGCCTCAACGCTGTTCTAGCGGATTAAGCTTATAAAGGTAAAGCAGAATTAGGAATTTTACTAGTACCAGACGCGACAGATGGGACCCACTTGTGACAGACCCAACAAGCGACGGACGGACGACACTTATAAATCACGTCATTGACCATCAGAAATCGGCTCCTTGACAGTTTCCTACTCCTTAGCCAAAGGTCCTTATGTCACACCCTCTGTCCAATTAAAACTCTTTACCTTTCCACCACCAACATCTATTTTACCCAATCAGAACTAAACTAGAGAAAACACGACGAGACAGGACATAGAGCAAAATCGAGAAGTCGGTTCGTCTTCGGCACCGATCCTTAAAACATCTTAATTACACATATAAACGCGTGTTCGAAACGGTACTCCGTTCAATGTCTACATTATAACTATTCTATGCTTTTCTCTAAATAAACACTCTCTTTTGACCACGCGCATTCTGGATCCTTATTATTACAACTAGTCACGCAATATTAATTTGGCGTGTGATAAGCGTTCTCGGAAATCGAAGAGATTCGATACCGTAGGATGCTACAGGTTCTATGGTGGTTTCATCGGTTAGAGCGACGATTGGACTATGGGTATCGTTAGTTTCATTGGGTTCACAAGTATACTAGTATCACGAAATACTATATTTCGCGCTATTGTGGTGTATAAATACACAGGATACTAGACACAGCTGTTGACTGTGTCCAGTAACTGTTTAGTAACAGTAAGTTAGAGAGGTGTTGCAGAATTTGAACTGAGAGAGAAGATTAAATATAACGAGGGATGTCTCAGACAATTTTATCTATGTATTAACACTATAGATACCGCGATTAGTATACATAATTTCTATATTTTAATAGATATTGATGTAAATGCACATTTGTATTGTATAACTTCATTTACAATCGGGATAAAAAATATTGACAAGCTATATTGGAATTTTAAGTATATATTATAATATTATATATATATTACAAATATATATTATATTAGAAATTCATCTAACCAAAAATTCTCGAATTTGCATACACGTGGAGCATGAGTTCTAGCACAATACATTGGAATATTATATATTATACATTTGTACCATATAACTTCATTTGTAGCTGAGATAAAAAACATTGGCAAGGTATATTGGAATTTTAAATACATATTATAATATTGTATATATTACAAATATATTGTATATTATATATAACTTCATTTGTAGCTGAGATAAAAAACATTGGCAGGGTATATTGGAATATTAAATACAT